GGTGGAGAGAGGGGGTTGTTTGAGGCAGAGGGGACAGCCCAAGTGAGAAGAGAGATAGGAAAGGTGGGGTGTGTTTGGGGCCCGGAGAATAGTCTCCGTTGACCGTGAGGGGGAGGAAGTAGAAGTCAAGGCTGCAAAGCCAGGTCGGGGCCACGTTATACAAGGTTTTGAGTGCCGAGGTAAGGAGTCGCTGTTAAATGGGAAGGCAATAGGGAGCCAAGGACAGTTTCGAGCAGGCGAGGGTCATGGTCAGAGGAATCTGTCAGCAGTACGAGCTGCTCTGGGGGCAGGACGGTGCCGATAAGGTCTGGGGAGAGAAATGGCTCCCAGGGGGTGCATCGATCGGCACCGCACACTGAAATCCGTTCTTGCTTGTCCCAGGCTGGCTCACGCGTGATTTGTGGGGTGCAAAGGGAGGGAGGGAACAAAGATGGCCCTGAAGCCAGTTGGGGTACCGTAAACAGACCCACAGCCATTGGAAGACTCTCGGCAACAGGACCCCGGTGGGAGAGAGAGATGCCAACGGGTGGGCTCATGATGCCTGAGGGCGTGGCGATGGGCTTCCTCTTCCGGCTCTGCAGGGGAGGGGCTGTCGTCTGAGACGGTTCCCCGGGCGGGTCAGCGAGCTCACACCTTGGCTCTCAGAGTCACCGACCTGCTTTGCCTCAAGCATGCTGGCCCACGAGGGCCTGTGGGTCTGCCCGCCCCTCCTCCTCTGCCTCATCTGGCCTCTTCCTGCACTTCTGGAGTGACTGGCCTCACCCCTCTCTATTGCCACCACCCCCGCCGGTGAGGGCACTCTGTGGGCTTCTCTCAGGCTATTGTCCCTGTGAGACAGAAGGGGCGCGCGGGGTGGGGGACAGCATCCCACACAGCCTCAAAGCCTTTCTCAGTCCCAGGCAGAGCGAAGCCTGGCCAACCAGTCTGGAGAGGAGTCTGCATCTGCCTCAGGCCCGGAAACAGGGTTCAAGGGGTTCCCCGGGGGCAGAACAATACTTGACTGACAGGCCTTTAGAATGGTCCCCCTCCTCCCGCCCAGCTGCCTCAGCAGCCCAGGAGCACAGGCCCCGGCTGCCCGAGCCCTGGCCTCCAGAGCCCTCATTATGGGAAGGCTGGAGGTGAGGTTGATGGGGCCGAATCCTCGTGTGGCCACTGAGGTGGACAGCAAGGCGGGCCAGGGCTTCGTGGTTTACTGTCTCAGGCACGGAAGGCTGGGTGACGAGACAGGAGCTGTCACGCCATGCCATCCCAGGGTCCCATACGGCTCCTGAGGCTCTCCCGGGACGCGCAGGGGGCTCCCCGGGGTGGGAGGAAATAGGACAGCCTCTTTCTCTCAGTCGGTGGTTCTAGCAAGATCGGAGCTGCGGGCCGCGGAGGCAGGGCCTGGGCCTTGCAGGGGACCAGGGCACTCCAGGCTGGAATGAAAGGAGAGCAGGATAAAGGACCCTGGGACCAGGCAAGGTGGGAGGAGCTGTTCCCCCCCTTCGGCCCCCCCACCCCCTTAGAGTGAGTCAGCCTGGCGGGGCCCCGGCCTCCCTGCCCTCCCCGCCCGTTCCAAGAGCCTCACTGGGAGTTGGCTAAAGGCAAAGCTGTGGGTGGGGGAGCCGGGGGCAGGGAGGTTGTGGGAGGCAGGTGGGGCCACAGGGGGTGGTCGCCAGAGTTGGGCACCTGCCCCACTGTCCCCAGCCACAGACCTCATGAGCCTTAGCTCCGACGTCTTCTGGAACATCCAGGGGTTGCTTCCTCCTCCCACAGGGGGGCGGCGGGGGGAGCAGCGTGGGCTCTCAGGAGGCCCCACTTCTGGTGGGCAATGAAGGGTTATCCTGAGGGTAGGTCAGGGTCAGTTCACCCCACCCTGCAGGGGTCAGAGCCAAGCTTCTTCCCAAGTTGCTCAGCGCCGGCGGAGACAGGGCTGTGTCAGAACCTCCCAGCCCCTTAGAGGAAAAGAAAAGAACAAAGACAGGGACGGAGCGGTCTTGGGACAGCCACGAGGGAGGTGCAGAGCACAGACGTAGCAATTACATGTATGAGACTTACTAGTGTGGCTTAACCTCTCTGGGCCTTAGTGGCTGTTCCAGAAAAGGCTAGGAGCCACTTCAGAGGCTTGTTGAAAGGACAAAGTGATAGGAGTTCCCGAAAAGCTCTGAACCCAATTCCTGCCCGTGGCACGCGCTCAAAGAGGCTGTTCTGTTTGTTCGGAGTTGGGCTTTGAGTCAAGCCTCGGGCAGGACAGGCCTGTTTCTGAGCTTGGAAGGATGCAGCTCATTCCGGGGGACTTGGCAAAGGGCAGAGGTCTGTGCAAAGAGAATTCTAGGCTAATCTGGAACCTGAATGCTGCTAAAGCCAATCAAACCAGGACTTCCCAGCCTCGGCGCTGTGGTCTCCCTGGGCCGGCAAGCCTCGTTCGTGGGCCATCCCGTGCTAGCTGTAGGGTGTTTAGCGGCATCCCTGACCCCAGAAGGGGCAGCACTGCCCCGCTATGACAACCAAAAATGTCTCCGGACATTGCCAAATGTCCCCTGGGGGCCAAGTCCCCCTCCATCCGTGCTGAGAGACACCGGGCTATGATGATGTGGGTGAGGGGATTTGCAGAAGTGGGGGAGCAGAAGACGAGGAGGGCTGTTGAGCTGTCTGCTCATGGTGCTGCTTTTCTTACAGACCAGAGCTCATGGCCGGGCCCAGCACCCACGTTGTCCCCATGCTGTTCCTCGCCCTCCTGGTGCTCTCGGAGCTGAGCCTGGCAGGCTCCCTGGGACCTGGAACCCCGGCTCGGAACCTTCCTGAGAATCACATCGACCTCCAGGGCCCAGCACTGTGGATGCCTCAGGCCAGCCACCACCGCCGGCGGGGCCTGGGCAAGAAGGAGCGGGGCCCAGGCATGCCCGGCCGGGCTCAGGATGGGGCTGTGGTCACCACCACCAGGCAGGCCTCCAGGCTGCCAGGGGCAGGGGAGCCGCTGCCCGGGCAGAGTCCTGCAGGCCTACTGGAGGACAAGGGCCCGCTCCTGGGGCTGGCACCGCCCTACCCGGAGAAGGAGAACCGGTCTCCCGGGTCAGAGAGGGTCAAGAAACGTGGCAGGGAGTTCAAGAGACGCAGGGAAAGGTTGAAACTGCACAGAGGTAGCCGGAGGTCTGCGAGGGGGTTGGGTCCTGCCATGGAAAGGAGGGGTGGGGGGATGAGGGAAGGGCATACCCCAGTGGCCAAGGGGACTCCAAGAGGGGGGTGGGGGCGGGCACAAGGGAAGTGGAGAAGTGTCGATGGTGTGAGAAGCCGGGGAGGATATCCAGAGGCTCCATAGAGGGCAGGCAGTGGACCCCCAGAGGAGGGGAGGGGGTCTCTCAAAAGTCCGAGTGATCTGGTAAGAGGAGGGAGCTGGGAGAGCCTTGGTGGTGGAACGTGGGAATGATCCTCCTAAGTCAGGAAGCTCTGCCTTGTGTCTGACCGAAATCCACCCTACTATAAGCCCGGAGTAGAGATGGACTAGTTCGGTCCCCAACCAGGGGACTTAATCAACACTTACTCAACTCTGAATCCCAGAGCGGGGACTGAGAGCTCAGACTCTGAAGCTAGGTCTGCCCCAGTTCGGCTGTGGCTCTGCCGCTTACTAGCTGCGTGCCCGGGACAAGTCCCCTTTCTGTGCCTCGGTGTCCCCTTTTGCAAAACGAGGATGAGGGCTCCATCTACCCTCAGTGTGGGCTCATAGAGGACTTAGATGCTTAGAATGGCACCTGACAAGCATCACGTGCCGTGAGCAGTAGCTGTTACTAGCTAATTCTCAACTTGCTCTCAGTGTGGAGTCACCGTCCCCTGACCCGGACACGGATGACCCAGGGAGAGACGTGGCGTCCTTATCCCTCCTGCCTCTGTCCTGTTTGTCTCTTGGGGTGCTCTCCCGCGGCCCTGTTCACCTTCTTTAAGTTTCTCCCACATCCCCAAATCCCCGTGAGGGCCTAGCCGCCCCCTGGCCCCGGCCGTCACCTCCTTTGCCCACTCAGTCCCTGAACAAACATGTCCCAACAGCTGGGCCCAGGCAGCTCCTCCTGCCTGACCTGGCCCCAAGGCCACCAGGGGCCGACCAAGTGCCACAAATGTGGGGCAGTTGTTCTCCAAGAGGAGCGTGATGGAGGCTGGGCACCCCCGCCTCCTGCAACCGCTGGGGTCTTCCTTGCTAGGCCTCCTGAAACCCCCCGAGTGGACAGAACACAGTCGAGAGATCCCCGCTTAGACTCAGCCTCCCACCCCCTTGGAGGTCACGGTCAGGTTGGGTGGGGGAGGCTGGCATCCTCAAGGACTCACAAGGCATGAACTCATCCTGGCTCAACTCCAGGCCCCAGCTCCATCGGACCAAGGGCCCCCATCCCCCACCCCAAGAGAGTCGGTGTGGCAGGTGAGTGGAGGAGGGGACAGTGCTGGAGGCCAGGCCCAGTACTGCCGACCTGCTGGGGAGCTCTGGCTGACTGGGCCCCAGTTGCCTTGTCTGTAAAATGAATGGAGTGGATTCAATGGTCCCTAAGTCCCCTTTCTACTCTCTGGGGTTTGTTTCCGGAGGGTGGGGTGGCCCCGACTGACCCAATCAAACTCAAAGTCAGATCTTGCCCGAGAAAAAAGAGGCAAGGGTGAGCCCGGGGCCTCCAGCTTCTCTCAGAGCCCCTTTGTTCCTGACCACCTCCAATCCTGCACACTGTCCCCTCACACTCAACTTACCCCATTGCCCACGGGTCTTGGGGGGTGGCATCTGTGGCCAAAAGCATCGGCCTCGTGGTCAGATGGACCCGTGTTTGAATGCAGGCTCTGCTGTCCCCTAGCTGTGTGTCCTGAGGCAAGTTGCCTAACCTCTCTGTGCTTCCGTGTCCACACCACCCCCCCAGAGATGAAGCCTGAAGGAGCACCCATCTCCTAAGAGTTCCTACCGTGTGGTTAGATGAAATAATGCTTGTAAGGAAGGACCCAGCATATAACAGGGCGATGGTTATCACCACATAGGAAGCCCTTGCTTGTACGTGACAAACTGTGGATCTTACCATCTCAAAGACCTCTCCCCATTGCAGTGCCTCTCAGCCTCTCCTAGTCACGCCTCACCTCTTCCGGGAAGCCTTCTGTGGGCAATCCCACCAGTTCCCACTTGTTGCACTTACGGCCCCGGCTGTATCCGCTAACCTGACTTGAACTGGCCGGAATGCTGCTTTAGAGAGAGCATCCTTGGGCTGCCTCCTGGCGGCAACACTGCAAGTTCATTCAAGACCTCCCTCCTCTCTCCCCACCACCCCAGTCCCTCGTTTCCACCTCCCCAGGAAGGTGGGCAACAGGAGTGTTGGCTGAGCCCATGGCTTGTCACATAGTCCCTGCTGCCTCCTTGTTTGCAGATGGAAATGTGAGTTGTGCTGTGGGTTGACACAGGGCGGTGAGCAGATAAAGCTCCTGTGTTTCCCACTCCGTGTCTCAGGCCGAGCCTTGGTCCGAGGTCCTAGCTCCCTGATGAAGAAGGCAGAGCCGTCCGAAGACCAGGCACCGGATGCCACGATGGAGGAGTCCTCCACCAGCCTGGCCCCCACCATCCTCTACCTAACCACCTTTGAGGCAGCACCTGCCACAGAAGAGTCCCTGATCCTGCCTGTCACATCCCTGTGGCCCCAGGTAAGGGGCCCCAGAAGAGCCTCATCGTATATTTAGGGAGACTGAGGCACAGGGGTGGGAGGGAGCGGGATGAGACCACCGGGGCTAGAGGCAGACCAGGTCTCCTGATGCCTGTCCAACTCAGCTGCAGCCCGGCAGACGCTCTGTGCTAAAAGCGCTGCTACTGTCCGAGACAAAGTGGTCCTAGGGTTCACTCCAGGGACAGGCAAGAGAGCAGGTGCCAGCTCAGCACACCAGGTCCACGTGGAAAAGAGCAGGGACCTCGGGGGAAAATTTTCACACGTACCAACACGTCCTTGTGCACTGATCCAGCCCCGAGACCGCTGGCTGCGAGGTGAACTAAGTGGCAGCCTCGCGGTGCTACAGAGCCAATGACTTGTCAGAGGAGAGAAGGGACAGGAAAGCGAGTGGCTGGGCTTCACCCAACTCCCCGGCTGCATAGGTGTAGAAACCCTGAGCAGGCACGAATGCCTTCCCAGTCCCTCCCTCAGGGGCCTGGCGGATAACTCACCTGTCTGCATTAATACCATCCCACTGGGGTGGTGGCTGCAGAGTGAGAGAACTGCTTAGGCAGCTGTCCCCGTGTCCCCAGGGCTGGGATTCCAGGCTGCCCAGCAGAGGACGAGCTGGCCTCTTAAGGAGCCCTTCCTTAACCCCCTGGTTCTGGGGTCCCATGTTTCGACTCGCACCTGTTGGGAGCTCCAGGCTCCCTCCTCTCCATGTCCCTCCTGCAGGCTCAGCCCAGGCCTGATGGGGAGGTGATGCCCACACTGGACATGGCCTTGTTCGACTGGACCGATTATGAAGACTTAAAACCTGAGGTCTGGCCCTCTGCAAAGAAGAAAGGTACGTCCGCCCAGCCCTCCACCCCCACTCCTGGGTTCTCCCTCACCCCCCTTACTGTCTGTCACGGTGGGGGCCCCAGTGAGCCCAGCCTGACCTACAGGTGTCCAGAGTGGGAGGGCGTGGCGTCTAAATTGGCACTGACACCCACAAGGCAAAGGCTGTTCTCAGGTGCCGATCACACGGCAAACGTTTTCCTCTACCAGCTCGTTTTACCCGAAAAAACAAAACAAAACAAAACAAAACTGTTAGGCCCATCCTGCTGTTGAGCCCATTTTAGAGAGGAGAAGACGAAGGCAGAGAGAGCGAGGTAGACAGTCCTGTCCACGCCACACCGTACAGGGGGCAGAGTGAGCACCCAGTCCCCGGCACCCCCGTGCCGAGTCTCTCTGCTCTGCTTGGCGTCAGCTTCTGACAGCAGAACTTCTCGTTGCCAGAGAAACACTGGGCTAAACTCTCCAGCGATGGTAACGGAACGTCACCGGCTGAGGGTGAGCCGTGCGACCATCATCAAGACTGCCTACCAGGTACGGAGCCAGCATCCGCCTTCAGGGCACATGGCTGGGTGCAGGGTCAGGGTTGGGGTGGTGGAGGGGAGGCTGCACGGGTGTGGGGACATTCCCAGGCACGTGAGCAGGGCCTGTGGGTCCGTGGCCCTAAAAGGGAGAGAAATAACAAAAACCAGAGCTACCTCTTTCCTGAGTGGCGCTGTTGTACTTTATTTGCTCCTCATAGCAACCCAGGGAAAGGGACCCTGTCATCCCCAGTGTTTAGACCACCAGCTCCCGGACAGGCCGTTTCCTCTGCAACACATAGTTTTCACCCTGAGTGCAAAGAAAAGGCTTGATTTGGGGTCAGCTGGACAGTCTTCCTAACGGCTGGCTCGGTGTGTGGTGGGCAAAGCCCTGTCTCGGGTCTACCTTGGCCCCCCCCACCCCCCCACCCCCCTGCTGCTCCCCCGAGGCAGGCGGCGGGGGGGGAGGGGCTTCAGTTTTCCCATCTGTCAAAGTGGACCTTGGCAGCAATGGTCCCTGAAGCCCCTCCCAGCTCCACACACCCCCCCCCCCCCAGCTGCTCTACCCCCTCTCCCTGGGAGGCCATCCCACACCGCCTTCGCTCTGCCCGTGCTCTATCAATTGCCCATCTGGGGCAGCTGGGGTCTCTGTCACCCGCCCCTGGGGGGCCTCGGCCATGGCATCCATAGGTGGTCCCAGTAGGGAGCCTTGCGCACCAGATGGCCCACCCTGCCGGGCCACGGCCCTGCCACGGAGATGATGGATCTCCTGTCTAGTGGGACGGCGGGCTCGGCGGTGGGAGGGTCCGGGGAAGCGTGGCTGACCGCGCACTTGCTGTGTGAGCAGGGAGCTGCTGTGACCTTCGGGAACATCTCTGCACGCCCCACAACCGCGGCCTCAACAACAAATGCTTTGATGATTGCATGTGTATGGAAGGTGAGCCCGCACTCCTGGGGGGCGGGGGTCCCCTGGGCTCTGAAGAGGGTGGGCAGAGAGGCCTGCGGCCAAGGAGAGGGTGGAAGAGGGCCTTGGGAACAGCTTTGCTCGGTGCCTTCCCAATCTGTGAACTCATTTAGTCTTGATTCCTGGCATCGGTTCTCAGATGTGCTTTTCTCACCTCTTGAAATACAAGCTGGCATGATCTCCTGTGATCTGGAGGTGGGAGAAGGGAGGAGAGGCGTGCATCTCTTTAAATAAGATCACATCTGAGAAGGCTGGTACTTTCATACCAGAATTCTATCCCTGGGGAGGCCTTCCAAGTGTGCTAACAAGGGGTGGGGTGGATTTCCCAGCACTGTCCCAGGGGAGGATGCACTTGGCCAGCTACGTCCTTAACTCTTCTGAGCTCCCACCTGCCCAGGTGCGCCCCGCTGTGCCGGGCTCTTGTGCCGAGAACTTCACTCACGCCGTCTCCCATAATCCGCACAAGCGTCCCGGGAAAGGGAGCTTTTACGATCCCCCTTCTGCACATAAGCAAACCGAGGCACAGAGAGGTTAAGTGACTTGCCCGAACTCACACAGCCAGAAAAGTAGGGGAATGCTTTTAATTTTGTATTCTGAAACATTTCAAACATACGTGTTAGAAATCATTATTACAACCACTAGCCCCCCAGAGTGATTTCCCATCATTCTGCATCAGGATTTACAGACTCACTGCCCATCTGTGCCACTTCTCCCCCCCACTCAGTTCCCAGTATGATTTTGAAGCAACTCTTGGGAGTTTACAGATATTTCACCTGTGATTAGTTCAGTATATCTCTCTAAAAGAGAAGTACGCTTTTAAAGATAAAATACCAAATGTGAACAATAGTTGCTCGGTACCATTCACTAGCTAATCAGTGTTCACGTGTTCTGAGTGGGAGAATTTGGTCTCAGTCCCTCTACGGACCATCCTGAGATACAAGCCCTGTTTTTACCCAGATTAGCCTCAAAAATTATCTGCGGTGAAAGCAATACAGCTACACGGGTCTAGTCAGTCAAGAAATATTTTGTTTGTTTGCTTTGAAAGAGAAAGAGAACAAGCAGGGGAGGGGCAGAGCGAGAGGGGGGAAGAGAGAGAATCCCAAGCAGGCTCCACACTGTCAGTGCAGAGCCCAGCGCAGGGCTCGATCTCACAAACTGTGAGATCATGACCTGAGTCGAGATCAAGAGCCGTACGCCCAACGGACTGAGCCACCCAGGCATCCCCAAGTCAAGAAATATTTATTGAGTGTCAGGTACCGTTCTGGACACTCGAGATTCAGCGGCGAAGAGAACCGGCAAAGGGCACCCATGGATTCCATTCTAATGGGATGAGCGGATACGAAGCAAATAAAGAGATAAGGTGTCTTTAGAAAGTAATAAGGGCTGTAAAGAAAATAATCCAGGTGGTCTGATGAGGATCAGATTTGTTTTAGGAAGGACAGACTGGAGGGGACAGTGGGGACCAGCCTCCGGAAGATGGAGGGTGTGGGGACGGAGAGAGAGCCCCAGGCAAGAAGCAGGAGAGAGACCCCCAGGCAAGAAGCAGGCCAAAGGCGAGGACCGTGGGCAAGAACAAGGCTGGTGTGTTTGAGTGGGCCCGGCATACAGTGGCCAACAGAGAAGGTGGCCCAAGGGCCGGGTGGGAGAAGCTAGCGGGGAGGATCGCACGGGACGTTGTCAGCCTTGTTTGAGTTAGAATTGGAAGTCGTAGGCAGGTGTTAGGTGGGAGAGTGACATGGTCCCTGCTGCAGGATGCTGAGGGACAGGAGTGGAGATAGACAGGACCGACAGGGAGGTGAGGAGGAGGCAGGGTGGGGAGGGTGCAGGGAAACTGCCTTCTGTTACGTGTAGGCAGGGTTGGGGACCCATTTCACAGAGCAGGAGGCTGAGGTATGGAGCCGGCAGGAGGGCACTCCAGTCCAGGTTGGCCAGAACACTTCTGAGGTCCGCTCTCAATCCTTGGCCTCCAGGTCCAACCCCGAGCGCCCAGGTGGGGGGGATGCGGCCCTGCTGAGCTGCACCTGCCTGGTTGGTGCCTGGCCGGGTGCCCAGGGGGTGGCCCCACCGTCCAGGAATCCTTCCTTCTTTCCACCCCTGGACTTCAGGCGGGAGGGGGCAGCTTTCCAGGCATCCGGAAGATATGTCGGCATCCAAAGCCCCATCTGCTCCTTTCCTCTCATCCCTCTGGCACTGGTCGGTCCTGGAAGGAACGCTTGCTTCCTCCTGGGAGACTCAGGCTCCGGAAAAAAAAGAACAGAAGTGACAACTCAGGCAGCTCATTAAAGATGGTCCAGGAGGCGGCTGTCACCAAGATGCCACACCAGAGGGATCTAGGCGGTGGCCAGGAACCCTCCTGAGGACCAAGAGTCCTGAGGACCTCTGAGAGATCCTGAAATGCTGAACACGGGGCCCAGGGCTTAAGTCCAGCAGTCAGGGCCAGCCTGGGTTCTAGAGGGTTCTGAAGGGGCTTCTGTGGGAACCTAGTACTCCTGCTCATGAATCCCCTCCCCTTTCCAAGTGTCACTTGTGTGGCCACAGGTCTGGAAGCCCAGTGACCCAGGTGCAAATTCTAGGCCACTAAGCACAAACTCTACCCAGCAGCTTGCTCCTTTATTCTCTGGATGGTGACATAAGTGAATCTTAAAGTAGCAATGTCCTCTCTCCCTGAGGTCACTCCTAACCTGAAGTGGTGGGATTGCTCAGGCCACACTCACATCTCTTTCCACCTCCCACCACCAGGAGGATGTGGCCTTCTGAGGCCTTAAATGAAAAATACATCTACCTGCCGTGTATCCCAGTAGATGCTGGTGGCCATGACAGAGAGAGCTTCAGCTAAGAAACCCTCCCACTGGTGGGCCATAAAGGCCACACTGACTTTAATTTGGGTGGTCAGGGAGGGTCTCTGGGACGTGAAGGCTGTGAAGGAGCCAGGGATGCAGAGAGCTTGGGAAAGGGATTCTGGCTAAGAGAAAAGCAAGTGCAAAGGCCCTGGGGCAGAGCATGACTGGGTGTTGAGGAAAAGCAAGAAGACTGAGTGTGGCTGGAGTTGGTGAAGAGGCGAGTGGGAAGTGAAGAGGGCAGAGGGGAGGCGGGTCCAGGTCCCAGGCGGTCTGGTAAGCCAGAGTGGGAAGTTTGGATTGCTATTTGAGTACCAGGGGGAGCCACAGGAGGTTTATAGGGGAGGGCAGGATCTGCATCCCTTTACGCATTTTTTAATAGACCATCTTTTTTAGCAGCTTTGGGATTACAGAAAACTTGCACAGAAAATACAGTTCTCCTGTGCCCTCTCCCCCCACCTCCCTGCACGGTTTCCCCTGTTATCTTGCATTAGTGTGGTATGCTCTTTACAATTGAAGAACTGTCTTGATAAAGCCCATGGTTTGCATTCGGTTCACTCTCGGCATTGAGCATTCCACGGGTTTTGATAAATGCATCATGTGTCCACCATTCCAGTATCACAGAACAGCTTCACGGCCTCGAACGGCCCCTGTGCTCCGTCTCTGCATCCTTCCTCCTCCCCCCCCCACCCCCCCGCCCATTGTCTTTTCTAAGCCCACTCGGGGGCTGCCGTGTGTTGAGTGGGTGGGTTTTAGGGCAGCACAAAGAAGGGGAGGTGAAAGTGTGCGGGGCGGTGGGGGCGGGGGTCCCAGAGGATGCGATGCGGGGAAGGAAGGGGCGGGCCCTGGCGGTGGGCCCCCCTGACCCCCTTCACTCTCTTCGCTCAGGGCTGCGCTGCTATGCCAAATTCCACCGGAACCGCAGGGTCACACGGAGGAAGGGGCGCTGCGTGGAGCCGGAGACGGCCAACGGCGACCAGGGATCCTTCATCAACGTCTAGCGGCCCTGCGCGAGGCGCCTCCCCGCCGGCCTGGGGACCGCGCGCGCGCGCCGAGGTTTGGAGAAGCCGGGCAATTTGTTCAGAACTAGCAGTGCGAGATCGGATGGGGACTAGATGATCGAGGCTGCAGGCGCCAGCCCAGGACACTCAGCCCTGGCAGGGGAGCCCTGGGCGAACCGCCCCCGCCCAGGAGCCGAGCTGCGGCACACCTGCACCCACCTCCCGGCCTCCGGAGGACCCACGAGGCCCCCGCGGCCCCGGGGCGGGGGGAGAAACCGCGTACTCCGCGATGGCAATGTCGAGACTGCCCTCTACTGCCCGACCTCAGCACTGCAATGGAGAGGTTTCTGAGCGCGTAAAGGGACCACTCCCAGAGACAGAGAACCCGAGGAGGTGAACGCGGGAACACCCCTGCCGTACCTGGCACTGTGCTAAATGCGTGCCATACGTTATCTCTCTTAGTTATCACAATGACCTTTCAGAGTGGGCATTATCACCGTTTTATAGGTGAGGAAAACCGAGGCAGAGTTAGTTATGACTTGTCCAGGGTCCCAGATCAATGCTCCTCAAACCTTAACCTGTGTAAGAACCCCCCCCCCCCCCCGCCCGGGGAGATCTGGCTCAAATGCAGATTCTGGCTCAGTCGCTTCTGCATTTTTAACAAGCTCTGAGCGGGGGGGGGGGGGGGGGGGGGGGGGGGGGCATGCTGCTGATGCTGATGGGGACCCCACTGAGAGCACCCAGGTCCTAGGGAGTAAACGCCAGAGCCGGGATTTGAACCCAGGCCAAGCCTGTCGGGTTCCCCAGGCCCAAAGGGTGGTTGCTTGTCCACAACCAAGGATTTATCCCAGGTTCTCCAGGGCTTTCAGTGGGAAAGAAGCAAACTAACTGTTCTCTTCCTTCCCTGGACAAAGGTGTATCATCTTTAAAAACAAAACATGCATTAAGCTCCCGCTTGCCGGTAAGGCATGACTTGGGAAGATTGGTCGCTGCCCTCTGGGAGTTGGTATTCTGAGATACGATGTGTTTGGGGGAAACAAGAGTGCATGTCCCAGGACATGCGCTTTGCCATTGCCCTGATAGCTTCTTAAGCTTCTGTGGTTCGTGCCCTTTGAGAATCGAATGCCAATATGGACTCAAAATATGCACCCATTTTGCATGCTGCCTTAGTGGTTTCCAGGCCTCCCACAGACATCTCTAGACCCCCACACCACACTTCTGCAGCAAAGCCTACTGAGGAGTTGAGGTACCTCTGAGGTCAAGGTGCTGTCTGAAACTACCTGCCCCCCCCCCCATAAGCTAGACCCACGATGCCCTCAGAACATCTCTCCCAGCAGATCTGGCTCTAAGGGCCACTTCGGGAGAGCCACTTAAATCCCCCCTATACACACCTGGCACCTCATTCTTGGTCAGCCCTCTGGTCCAGGGCAAACCAGGTTGCAAATGACAAAAGCGTTCCCTGTCCAAATTCCTCGCTGGCCTGGACACCTGCCAGAGGGACCATACCCGTGATGCCAGGGCTGTTTACTCCATTGGGAAAATCAGTCAGGGTCAGAGGTCTGGCACCAAGCATAGCAGACAGATCTAGGAGAAACCAAATATCCTTGCTCATTTCTCCCTTTTCAAGTTCTATGGGCAAAGGAATCTTGGGCGTGGGGGCGGGGCAGGGGAACTGAAAGAGATCAAAGCCGGCTATTTGGAAATCAAATCCACCAGCAGTTTTGTCTAAGACCAGACAACGCCCGTGCTGTGTGTGCTTCACTTGGGGTGGCTGATCTGAGATTGTGATTGAACCCTAAGGGGGTGGCTGCAGGCAGGAAGCACAGCACTGCTTATGTCTGGCATCGCTTGTGTCTGGGGGCTAATAGGATGGCCCGGGGACATCAGCAATGGAAAACACAGAAGGCCCCATGGAACTATCCCTGTCTACTAGGGGAGTTCCACGGTTGGAAATTCAGAGGAGTCTAGCTCTTTGCCCTAGCTACCTGCATGTCGCGGTTGCAAGGTGGTCTGTGGGTGCAAAGCTCCTAACACCAGAGTTAGGGATCCCAGAGCCCCCTGTGTTTAACAAACCCCTCTGCCAGGAAGTTCTTCCTTAGGTCTATCTTACATTTCTTTCGCTGGTACAGAAGTCAATTCTCCCTAATCCAGGATTCAGCAAACTTTTTACCATAAAGGGCACTTAAATATTTTAGGGCTGTGTTCCAATAAAACAATTTGTGGACACTGAGGTTTGAATTTCATGTAATTTTCACATGTCACAAGCTATTAGCCTTCGTTTGATCTTCTAAAACCCATTTATGAACGTAAAAACCTCTCTTAACTGGCAGATTATCCCAAAGCAGGTGGTGGGTTGGATTTGGCCCACGGGCGCTAGTTTACAGGTTCCTGCTACAGTCACTGGTCTCAAACTTGGCTTCATGTTAGAAGAATATGGGGAGCTTTCCGAGGTACTGATGCCCCGGCCCACCGGCAGAGTGGCACCAGTGCTGGTTTCATTGATCTGGGTTGCGTCTGGGCTTCGTTTGTGTCCAAGGCTCCCCCAGGCAACTCTAATGTACAACCGGGCCTGAACTCTGCCCTTGTCCTCTTGACTGTGCGAGTGCAGCTGGTAGCAAACAGCCCGCTCCACCTCCTACCACCTTGGCGACCTTAGGAAAGTTACTTGTGCCTTGATTTCCTCATCTGTAAACTGAGTTAATGACTCTCCCTTCACAGAGTTGTTGCCAGAAGTAAACGTAAAATCCTTAGAGCATGTTTAGAATAGTGCCAGGCACGTAATAAGCCCCCAGTGTGGGCTAATTTGTTTCCTAGGATAGTATTAGTAGGCGTTCTGTTCTTTGACGATGATCCATCATATACTCAAGGATCATTTCAAAGTCACCGTTCAGGCTCCTTCCCCTGGAACACTGGGGCCAGGAGATGCTCCTTTAGAAAAGAGAGGGCGGGGTTCTGTGGTCAAAGAAGTTTGGAAACCTATTCTGGACTCAGCCAGAGGCAGCCATGTACAGATTCCTGCACTGAGGCTGAGCTGGAAGAGGTGTTAAGTGGCATAGCAATACAGGTTCATCAATTTAAATACAACCAGAGGGAGAGCGGAGCAGGAGGTCAAGTGGAAACCAATAGCTGCTTGTTGGGTGGCTTGTGCCCTCCTGCATTCCTTCTTCGGCGTCTTACGCCATTCCCCAGAGGTGCCCGCGTTTCCCACATGACTCCTTTCTGGGATTTGTCCAACGATGCCAAGAGTGGCTCCCCAGCCGGCTGGGAATGGGCTGAGGGTCAGAGGACGTGAGGGCCGAACCTCATAGGGAACGTGACGGCTTCAGTTGCCCCTTGAGGAATGACAGGAACCACAAGTCAAATCCAAAGCCACAACCCCTTCCTCCCCCCAGACGGATCCTTACTCTAAGCCATATTCAACACACCCAGTAGAATCTAGTGTTGAGATGGTGGGCCCACAGCTCCTTGGGAATGGACCTGCTTTGCAGCAGGAGAGTCAGTGAACATACACGGAACCTACAAAGACATCTCTGTAAGACAACAGAACAGCAAGGAAAGTGGGCGCTGGAAGGGACACTGGGAGGAGCCAGAAAGCAAACCACTTAGGCTCCTTACTGGGGATTTCACGGGACTGGCACCATCACCTCCACGATGACCTTTCCTCTCATGGGAGACAGTGAGGAGCGTGGGGGAGGGGGTTAGGGGGCAGCAGGAACTGGTTTGCAAAACCAGGGACTTTCATTGCAGGGAATGTGTTTTCTGAATCCTAAGTCAGGACAGGTCATCTGATATAGGATCCTCGGCCTCTTCTGGGTGCAAGAGGCTCCCTAGTCCCTCCTTACTCACCATGTGGTCCTGGACCAGCAGCATGGCGTCACCTGGAAGCTTGATAGAAGTGTGGGATCCCGAGCCCACCCCAGGTCCGCTGAACCAAAATTTGTGGCAGGGGGGCACGGCTGTCTGGATTTTAACAAGACCCAGGCTGTTCTTGTGCACGATTGAGTTTGAGAGACACGTGTCTAGGATGTATAGGGGGAAACAGAAAAGTTGGATGGTCTGGGACTTTTAGCTAATTCAGAGCCTTTGCATTTGGGTGTGTGAGTTGGCAGATCTGAGATCCGGTTTGCCTAGTTAATAACCAGCGGTGGACAAACCCCCAGGCTCTGAGGCCCTGGCAGGGCTGGAACTGGTCTATTTTCAGAGGAAATCAAGCGGAGCACCTGGGCCTGGAGCCCTCAGTCATTGGGTTTTCTGACTCTTGGGAACTTCCCTGGGGTGCTGTGGTTCCTCTTTAAAGTGTGGGGGCAGCGGGGGAGGGGGGGAGGTGCCAGGCCCTTGTAGTCCCGTGATGACGTGTTGCATGTGCTCCCGTGAGCTGTAAATAAAGAGCCAATGGTTCATTAGCTGCTTTCTTGTCTCTCTCTGACTCTCCAGGAGATGATCTGTGTGTGCAGAGGCAGGGAGCACACGCGGGGCGTTTGGAGGGGACCGGAAGTCTAGCATTTCCTCAGCCACATCTTTGCGCATTTGCTCTGAGCTCAGCGGGAAACGAGACAGAGTCTCTGTCCTCACCTGGACCTCATCGTGACCCTTTAGGCCTCTGGGTGGGAATGTCATATTTCGACCTCCCTCTCCATTTTAGGGTTGGGGTAGCTGAGGTCCCAAAGAGATCACAAGGCTCGTCACAGCAGGCTGGCCCTCATTCAGGGTCTGGGTGGCCACGTGTAGAGAACAGCAGACGCCAGCTTCAGCAGGATGGAAAGGAACAAAGCGCCGCCATCTAAGCAGGCTCAGATGCCATCATGGGAAAGGGCATGAATTGGCCAGGGAGTGGCCTGGCTTAACACCAGGAAAGACGTCTCTTATCTCTGTGGCAGCTCCAGCCACTGCTGCCCGGCTCCACGGACCAGGCCCTGCTAGGCCTGGCTGATCATAATACAGACCAAGACTGTGTAACAGCTCTAGGGGACTCCACATCCTGAAGCCAAGCCAGGGTCCAGACTCTCCTGGGGGCCGGGGTAACCACAGACATGGGATGCCCTTTTTTTTTTTTTTTTTTTTTTTAATGCTTATTTTATTATTTTTGAGAAAGAGAGAGAGAGCGTGAGCTGGGGAGGGGCAGAGAGAGGCAGACAGAAGATCTGAAGTGGGCTCTGTGCGACAGTAGAGAGCCCAATGCGGGGCTTGAACCCTGAGATCATGACCTGAGCTGAAGTCAGACGCCTGACTGACTCAGCCACCCAGGGGCCCCAATATGGGATGCTCTTAAGGGCCTGGTGTCCCTGTGGGGCGCTTCCTGCCCAGGCACCACTGAGGGACTGGCTTCTGCAGCCTGGATGGGGGACACACCCTAATCCAAGGTTTCCCACAGCATGGGCCTGGGATTCCCAGCATCAGGATCCTCTAGGGAGAAAACCCAGGTTTCTGAGCTCCACTCGGGCCTGTGACTCAGAATCTCTCAGGGTGGGTCTTGGGAATCTGCATGTTTGATAAGCCCCTTGCCCTAGGTATGAGAATTGCTTCATCAGATCTTCCTGAGAACTCACTTTCCTCCCCCACTCAGGCCCCAAGTAGCTGGCGAACCTCTCTCTGGGGATGGTTTTAGGGAATCAAGCCCAAAAAGTTCCATTTCGTCTAAGCTTCAAAAGTCCTCCCCTTGCTGGCCCAGCAGCTCAGCTCTGCCACTGCAGGGCAAGGCAGCCACAGACAACGCTGTGAATGAATATACACAAATGCATGAGCATGGCTGTGTTCCAATAAAACTTTATTCATACAAAAGAGCAGCAGGCTGGATCTGCCCATGATCTATGGTTTGCCAACCCCCAAACCTATACTGCTGACCCCTGGGTCCATGGTTGCAGAAAGGTATGCTAGGCTTTTACAAACCCCTCCTGCCCTGGGATGTCTACTCAAATCCATTTCTACTGATGAGGGGTTAGAGCAGTACTGAAATGAGGAGTCAAGGCCAGTTGAACTCAAGGCCACAGGGATTTCAGCTCTCTGCCGGCAGCCTGGGTGCTGCCCTCAGGGGATCAGGTAGCTGGACGGGGGGTGTATTGGCCAGGTTCTCCAGAGAAACAGAACCAATAGCATATTTGTATTTATATATCTTTGTGTATTTATATATCTCTTTTCTCTCTGTATCTATTTATACAGATTTATTTTAAGGAACTCGCTCACCCTATTATAGGGGCCAGCAAGTCTAAAATCCATGGGGCAGGCCAACTGGCCAGAAACTCAGGCAGGAGTTGATATGATGGTCTTGAGACCACATTTCTTCTGCTCTGAGACTGCAGTCTTTGTTCTTAAGGCCTTCAACTGGTTGGATGAGGCCCACCCACATTATTGAAGGTACTCTCCTTTCCTTGAAGTCACCTGCTTGTAGATGTTGACCGAATCTGCAAAATGCCTTCACAGCGGCACCTAGATTAGTGTGTGATGAAATCCTCACATACTCCCGCTGGCCAAGATGACACAGGAAGCTGACCATGATGGAGAGGCGAAGCTCAGCTCTCCAGCTCTGGATCATAGCACCCGGGCACGTGGTAGAGTTGTCTTTGGTGTGTCTCGAGGTTCTGGGCTCCCTCACTGCTTTGCCAGCTTGAGTGCCAGATGGCAGCAGTGACTGCCATCTGTTACGTAAGCGGACACACCACACCCGTCCTAGTCTCAGGACGTGAAATCCTGGCGGGCGTGGGATGGGGGCAGGTGGTGTGATGGACACTTGCGTAGGCAAATGGCTAAACAGAGAAACTCCTTTCTCTGCACCCTCCCCCTCCAGGATGGTGTATCCTGAAACCCACATGTTTGTGCCTGGGGGACCATGGCGGGACACCTGGGACCCTTCCCCACTGGTGATTGGTCAGTCCAGCAGGGCAGCCTGGGCAGCTCTGTGCATGGTGGTCCTGAACTGTCTCTCCATGCCCCAGCCTTGACCTTGTGTCAGTGCCTGGCACAAAGCAGAAGTCATGTTTAGAGAGGGAACACGTTCGTCCAAACACAACTGTGGCCTCTATCTACCGGGCGGTCCTCACTGCCAAAAGCACCCTCCTCTTGTGTAGCTAGGTATTATTAGAGCCCCTTTTTCAGAGCAGGAAAACTAAGTAGATGTATCGGGGACCCCACCCAGGTCTTTCCTACTCCAAAACTCGATTATGTCCCCCTGATTTCACGTTGTCTCCCAAATGCCACAAGTTTGCTGAGCACCTACTAGGGGTTGGTCACTCCCACCCACCCCCACCCAGACCCCGGGGTCACAGGAGCTGCACAGCGCATCCGGCATCACCAAGGCTGCTTGCGGGGCCGGCAGGGGACAGGAGTTCTGCCAGGCAGGCCCCAGCCCTGGGCTGCCAGAGCCAAAGATCATGCCCTCACCATGCTGCCTTCTAGAAGGCCCCGCGGTGTGGAGGGGGAGGGGGTTCAGATTCCCTCTCAGGGGCTTCCCAACTGGTGAAACCTGCAGAGATACCCTGCCTGACCCCAGTCCCTGCTTCCTTTTTCTGATCCCTCCCCCTGCGTGGCTCACAGCCTCCCTTACTGTCCCCCGGCAAGGAACGCGAGACCTCCGAGAGCCTGCCGCAGACCTGGACCCAAAAGCCATTTGGTTCTGAGCTGGCCCAGCAGAAGGGGGTGAAAGCAAACACCAGGATAACCCCCCACGGCAGATAGGTATCTTGGGGGCTGCAGGGCCCAGGGCCCATAACTGGCCTTGTGCGTGTATCTGAGCCATCAGCAAGGTGCAGCCAGAGCCCTCAAATGCCTTTCTTGAAATTCCACCCCGAGCACGTGGAGAGATGAGAAGCCTGACGGGGAAAGAGGCGACAGCCTGAACTGAGGCCAGGACAGGACAGGCAGTGGGAGGCAGGGGGTGCATAGTGAGAGCCTGGGAACGCACAACCACGATGGCATAAAGAGGGTTGCTGGAGTATGGACGAGGCGAATGAAGAAAATGCCACGGGACAGATAGAGCCGCGGGGAGGGGCGCCGTGGCTCTGTCTTGGGCAACACAGCCTCTTCAGTGCGCTTTCCCTCTGGCTGTTGTCGAACACAACCTCTGTTTCCTGGAACCGGACACAGTTTCCTTTTCTGCCTTTCCCACGCTCGCCAAGGGTTCCATGGAGCGCTCTGATGTGTTCTCCGATGCCTGACTTGAGCACACGGGTGTCTGGAGGGACAGGGTACTATCGCTACGTGTCTGGCAGGGCCTTCCCAGGGTGGGGCTCACCCGCAGTAATTTTCTTAGGACCCTGATGAGGTGGCAAAGCTATAGGGCCATCAGGAATTACGGGCTTCATTTTAAGGCTCGAGGGAGAGTCTTCGAGGAGCCTGACCGGGGCCTCTAAAAGTCAGCCATGGATGCTGCTGTAAGTTCGAATTGTGTGCCACTGGGACGAATACCCTGGGATCAGTCCCCCTGTGACTAATCACAAAAGACAAACGTGTCCTCTAGAGTGGAGGCCTCTCCCGCCTCCCAGCAATGTCCAGGCACCTCCAGAAAATCCACGAACAGGGATGTAGCAGGATCATCCAACCTGACTCCCTCTGGGCACATGCCTCCCCCCGGGACCATGTCCCCTTCCTGGCTCTGAGTAAATGGTGCTGTGGACACAGTGATTTTACTGGTGAGTCATAATGGCATTTGACAGTTTCGGTACGCGCATCAACCGAGGACCGGGCTGAAGACAGGGAATGAAGTCTGGGAGCCCAAGAGAGCCACTCCCACCCCAGTCCTACAGGGTTCCGTTCGGTTCCATCAGCTCCTGCCCCGTTTCCTGTAGTCGGTGGGCAGCAGCTGGCCCTCAGAAGGAGAAAGAATATAGCCGCAGAGCCAAAGGCCAGCACTGACCCACAAAACTCCCACGCCTTCCCCAGCCCCGCCAGACCTCAGGCCGAGAAACACAGAGCCGGCAGGTTACATGTGACAAGCTGACACGTGCCCTGGAGGACGGGTCTCCAGATCAAAGCCCCCCAGGGGGATGTGCCACCAGGGGCCATGGCTCTGCTTCCAGACCCTTCTCTAATGTGCTTCTTGCGGAGGGCTCTGCATTGTGACAGGCGCGTGTGACTTTCAGACGGCGTTTCCGTGATGTTCTCTGCTCTCTTTCTTCCAGCTGGATTTACCCCCTTGGGAAAGGAAGTGGCTGCACCCCCTCACAACGGTGGGCCTCCCGTGGGTTAAGAACTGAAGGACAGGGGGAGATCATCTCCAAACCTTTTCATATTCGGAGCCTCCTTTGTGCCTCACACAGCGCCAGGGGACTGATTATCACTGTCCCCATTGTCTCGATGCAGAAAAAAATGCGGAGGGATTAAGTGTCATAGATGCAAAGTGGCAGCGCTGGGGAGGGGAGGGTGTCGAAGCTGGGAAGGTGGTGGGCAGCAGGCTGAAATGCCGAGGTCTTTGCTAGTAGGAAAGGGGGTGGGTGGGCATCTGCTCCCCATCAAAGGGGTCTTCCCCGGTGCATCTGTTCCAAAAGCATTCACTGTGGGCCCAGACGTGCTGGGAGACGCCGAAAGACACTTGTGGTTTTCTTCACAGCAGGAGGGTAGCTATTTGCCTACTGAGCATTTATGAAGTTCCAGGAGCTGTGCCAGGAGGAGGCAAGGCAGGGATCCAAAAACACCCACCTTTACCCAAAGGAGCAAGCAACCCTGGGAAAGCGATGGCTGTGGTTCTGACGCAGGCAGGCCGGGACTAAGAACCCAGAGTGGGGCGGGCCCCCCCCCCCCCGGGCGCGCCGCAGACCCAGCCAAGAGAGTCCTTGGCTCCGCGCAGGATAGAAATCAAATGCATGCCAGAGAGAGTGAAAGCAGAGTTTAGTTTAATGAATAGCATGAGTGACAGAGTGTAACAGATGGGAGTGTCTGGGAGATGCGGAAACCAAAGGAGAGTGAGTCTCCCCGTTGCTTCGAGTGGGGGGGGGGGCGTGGGTTATACTGGAAAGGAGTCTAGGGTACGTGTTCCTTCGGGAATCCAGGGTAGGGTCCGATCAAAGATGAGGTGCGTGATGGGCGAATAACAGGAACTATTTTATAAACCACCGGAGGGAGGAGGTGTTGATGTCAACATCAGCCGGGGTTTGTTCGAAGCTGATGCCCTGGAACCTGTTTGGGATCTGGCTCCTCTTAGGTGTTCTCAGGTGTTTGAGGCCTAGGACAAAGCTGTTTTGCTTCCCCCCTAGAAGTGGGAACATCGTTTCTTTGGCTTGTTCAGAGGCAAAGTGTAGAACAGGAGTGAAGGGGGCGTAGCAGAAAAACAGAGCAGATAGAGCCTTGCTTTATTTTTTTTTTTAACGTTATTTATTTTTGAGAGAGAGCACGAGCAGGGGAGCGGCAGGGAGGGAGACAGAGGATCCAAGGTAGGCTCTGTGCTGAGAGCAGAGCAGGACGTGGGGCTCGAACTCGAACTCACAAACCGTGAGATCATGACCTGAGCTGAAGTTGGACGCTCAACTGATTGAGCCACCCAGGCGCCCCATTTCTTTTTTTTCTTGTTAGATGTTTCCTGCATGGTTTGTCCCCTCAGTCACCATCCACAGGGCTCTGAGAAGCCATAGGAATATTCAAGTGGAGACTGTAGACCCGGCTTCATCTTTAACATCACAGGGCTGAGCCCCTATGCTCCCTATGCCACCCGGACGGCACCCGGGGAGAGCGACCTCCCGGGATACCCACGTTGCAATGCCTCTGATTAAACAGCATCACCCCTTCAAAACGTTCTCCAGAGATTTCACCTTTCCCCCCATCCCATACCACACAAGTGAATTTGAGGAAAGCCTATTTATAAACCGGTCATGGCTCAGTCAGTTAAGCGTCAGGTTAAGCGTCAAACTTCAGCTCTGGTCATGATCTCACAATTTGTGGGTTCGAGCCCCGCTTCGGGCTCTGACAGCTCGGAGCCTGGAGCCTGCTTCGGATTCTGTGCCTCCCTCTCTCTCTGCCCCTCCCCCACTTGTGCTCTGTCTCTCTCTCTCTCTCAAAAACAAATAAACATTAAAAAAAAATTTAATAAAAAAAATAAAGACCAGCCATTACTGTTGACTCTTTCGGGTTCATCCACCTGATCCGTGCCTCATTGTTCTAGGAGTATGGGGGGTACATATGCCCACCTTCATCTCCAAAATCACGGAAAGGGCTTGTACCTGGGACGGAATCCTTGGCCCCCAAAGACAGACCTCAAGGCGGGTTCGCAGGTTTTCTTTACAGGGCTCCCAGGCAAGCTTTGCTAATTGCAACTTGGGTTAAGTCATCCAAACTGTAACAATGTTTCCATCAACAAAGTAGAAGTTTCTACCCTAGTGAGGATTAAAGCCATGATGAGCCTTTCCAAAATGGAGTCCCAGTAGCTTCTCTGCCTTAGGCGTGGTTTTTTTAATGTTTTTAATCTTTATTATTTATTTCTGAGAGAGAGAGAGAGAGTATGAGCAGGGGAGGGGCAGAGAGAGAGGGAGACACAGCAGGCTCCAGCCTCCGAGCTGGTAGCACAGAGCCCGACGCGGGGCTCGAACCCACGGACCGTGAGATCATGACCTGCCTGAGCTGATGTCTGACGCTTAACCCACTGAGCCACCCCAGAGCCCCTGCCCCCTCCCCCGCTGCCTTAAGTGTTTTATCTGTTATCTGCATCACCCACAACTAGCGCCACTGACCCAGCGGCTTCCTGGACGGAGCCTGACGCTGAGGATAAGCAGGGGGTTGGGCGGCAGGTCTTTCAGATGTCTGTGATGGGGGGTGGGGGCACACATATTCGTTCAGTTGGTGTATGTCTGTCCATTCCCTGAGTGCCTACGAGGCATCAGGCAGGGGGCTGGGCACTGAGGATGTCACACCCTCCTGGAGCTTACAGTCTAGTTGGCGGGGGGGGCTCGGTGGG